CCTTTTCTTCTCTGCTCCTTAGACCAGGAATTGTCTACTGACTTATCTTCAAGTTCACTGACTTGCTTATATCCATAATTTGCTATTTAAGTGATTCAGTAAAATGTTCACAGTAGTCAAATGGTTCAGCCCTAAAATTACTACTTAGTTCCTTTTCGTAGCTTTTATTTCTCAGCTGAGATCTGCCATTGTTTATGCCTTTCCAGCACCTTTTCCTCTACATTTTTTTGGGGGCAGAGGTTTTGCTGTAGGGCGCGTGCGCTCGCCAGAAAGACAGAGAGACAGAAAGTGAGAGATCACTCTTCAGGGGGATGGCCACACCACAATCCCTTCTCCATTCTCCTCTGGGGATCTTGGGCACGCACATGCGCATGGCATGAGTTTAAGCCACCAGGTCTGGGACTCGAACCGCGGTTGGCTCCATGGGAGTCCAGTGACATAGCCATTACGCCAGACTGCTGGGCCCCCTCTCCTCTGCATTCTGTAGTCAGGTTGTAACAGCTACTTTAAAATCCTGCCTGCCAACTCCAAAGTCAGAATGGCTCACCATGAGGTAAAAGATCGGTAACCCTGACTGTTTCCCTGTGACGGGCACAGGGTTTCTTTAAGGGACAATGAGAAAGTTCTAAAAGTGATTTGTGACATACCAGGGGTGTGTGTGTGTGTGTGTGTGTGTGTGTGTGTATGTGCGCGCACGCGCCCAAAGTCCCAGGAGGAGGACTGCGGCATGGCCATCCCACCTGGGAGGCAATTTCTTACTTTCCTCTGGTGAGTACATACACGCTGCCCGATGGCAAAAATCTAAAAAGGTTTAAAAGGGGGGGAGGGGAGGAAAGTCCCTCGAAACTCCAGATTCACTGCCACACAATTCTCAAAAGTATAAAATCAGGGGACCAGCAGGTGGCATGGTGGTTAAGATGCTGGACACTCCCACATGACCAACCATGGTTCAAGTCCCAGATCTGGTGGCCTGCTTTCTCACTTTCTCTCTCTCTCTGTGATTAAATGAATGAATAACTGAAATAAAATAAATTTTAAAAAGTATAAAATCAAGTCTAAAAAGACTGTGGTATATAATTTCTTTTTAAAAAGTGGTTTGTGATGATGGTTGCTAAAACATTCCACAGAAAAACATCTCCATTTCTCAATGAACAATACTCCCTGTCATTAAGTCTCATATTAGCATATGCAGACTTAGTAAGCATCTAATCCTAAATGTCAGAATTCTCAAGGGAAAAGAAAAAGTAACTCACCTATCAGACTACAGATATTTTCAATAACAACTAATATGAAGTGTGATATTTGTTTCAATCCCGGTTCCTATAAAAAAAAAAAAAGCTACCACCTCAACCACCACAAGGTGTCGCTGTTTCCATGCTCAAAACAAAAGTGTCAAAGGACATTACTGCTATACTAAATAAAAGTGCACCGAACTGCCAAGTTACACTGAAAAACTTGAGTCTTCTTACATTTAGGAAGCAGAATTTAATGTCCTCTCAAGTCAGAACTCAAGTTCAATATAAATATTAAATTAGGAGGTTATTAAAGCTTTAGATGAGAAAGTTCCTTTCTATGACTACCCTCTCCAGAAGATACAGTCTCGTGGCTAGCTACTTTAGCATACGCAGGCCTCGGAATACCC